AGTCTATCTTGATGGCCAGAGAAAACCCTGCCTAATCCGGCACGGTGGTTCATAGCCTCGTCGATGTAAAGGTTCGGGTTTTTTCCAGCCTGAAGACCAGGTCATGCTTCAGAAGCAAGACCCCGGTGTTTGTTCCCAGCGGAAGTTAGGCCCTTCCTTGTACACTGAGCAGCGTGGGGTGAATCTCCAGCATCAGGCCCATTCAGTCCACACCCGGGGGCACCTTCTCCATCAGGAATGTGGTGTGGGGCCCTCCGCGAGTCGGGTTTCTCTAGCCGGTGCAGGGTGTGAGGACAGACAGGTGAATCCACTTGGGACCTGGTCAGGAGACGGGGACTAGGACCCAATATTCGGACAAATCCTAGGGAGGCGCTAGGCCCCCTGACCATCGCGGAGGTCTCGGGAGCCCCCTTGGTCCCTGAGAGGTCAGGGTCAGGAGCAGGAGGGCATGGAGGTCCTCTGAGCCCCAGGGGCCCCCGGGGCACCACGGGCTCCCTGAGGCAGCAGCTGCCGAAATGAGGCTGCTCTTCCCAGTCTCGGGAACCCACTGGCTCTCGGACTTGCAGCCACAATTTCAGGTCCTGAGAAAATCATCAGACTTGACTTTGGTGGTCGCCTCAGCTTCATCTCGGGGCTCCCCCTCTTAGGTGTCTTCCTGCACCTCAAACCTCAGCACCCTAACCCTGAGCCCCCCTTCTCATCTCACCCGAGGGGTGTCAACAAGGCCTCCCTCCTCAAAACAAATGCTCCCCTGCCTTAGAGATTTCTTCTTCTTTCTACTCATCCAAATGTGCCCATCGGATGTTCCAGTTCCTCACAGCTCTTAGAGCCAAGCAAGTTACTGAGAAGTCAGAGCTGCATTTCCCAGAGTGCATGCAAGAATTTAAGTTCTAAGGAATATTAGTGGCTGTTTTTCACACAGAGACAGACACGCATACATTCACATCCACATAATGGGCGGGAGTGTTCTGTGGTCAAAGAAGTTTGGGGAAACATGGTTAAACAGCTCTCGCTTCTGCAGGACTTCTCAGAGCCTTTGTTATGCCCTGAGTGTCCCAGACACGGGTATAGGGTGCAGCTGTTTTGTCCTGGGTTCTCCCAGCCGATAGCACACAGGCTGCTTGGGGAAGGAATAGGACAGGTCCCTTCATTACTGAGAAGTTTGGACTCAGGCGGTGTAGGACCCTGCTGGCCACTAGATGGGGCTATTTCTCCGTAGCAGGGGAGCTGATGCCGCTCACCGCTGACACCCATAGCCACTGAGGCCACGCTGGGCTTCAGGCATGCGCTCTTCATGGACACAAGGTCCCAACACACGGGATCTGGCCTGATCTACATGGACCCACCACACACACAACACTTGGGACACTTCATGTCGCATTTAGTAGATCCCACGCCATATTGTTGGGTCTGATTTGGATTAATATTCTTCGGTCCCAGTGTATGAAAAATGGTTCCAGCAAGTATAGGCCGTGCTTTACGAAACCCAGGATATGGAAACACAAAGGAAGAAAGGATGCCCACCACCAGGAATTTCTTTCCTGGGGGTGGTTTAGGATTAAACAATGAAACACTGCTGCTGTTCAGCCCAGGAGCTGGTCTTTAGAGTAGAGCAGGTTTTTGTTTGTTTATTTGTGGCCACAGAGTCTGCTTCCTGGAGCTGCCCCAGCCCCGATGGGGAGCCGCCCGGGGCAGCAAGCATGTCCTCGGGTGGACGGCCATATGTCAGGGTGGTGCTGAGCGGAGCCCTGGCTGTGGGGAAAGCTGGGTGACACCCCAGCTCCTCCTGTGACTGCGCGAAGGAGCTAGATGGCAACACCCCAGCTCCTCCCTTCACTCTGTCTAGTCTGCGGGGAATTGCAAGTCCAGGGCGGACAGTGTGCTTGGCCTGGAGGCTGCCGTTCACTGGGGCGGAGCACTTCCATGGGTCCTCGGACGGCACAAGCTTTTCGGTATAAATGTGAGGAAGTGACCAAAACACATGTCAACGGATGCGTCAGCAAGGCTTCGCCACAGGGAAAAGGCAGTGTGACAACATAGACACGAAGGGTCCGGTTAAATGCAATCCTGTTTGCCATATTGAAACACACCACGAAGGGCCCGAGGGCTAGATGGGCGCCTCCAGCCCCAGCGTTTGAGGACAGAAGGCACATGTCTACCTACATGTCTGCAATGACTAGCGCGGGCGTGTTGTCGCTGTTTTGTACTCAGTGGTGTCACTTCTGGACAGTTCCCCTGCCCTTCGTTCACCGCCCATGACCAGGGCTCTGGAGTCTTGCAAAGGGGGGTGGGCAGGGGTGGGAACGAGGCTGGTGTTTTCCGCTCTGGAGAGAGAAGAGGCAGATGGCTGGCTTATCATTCCTTTTCCACATGCAGCCCAGAGCCAAGCAAAGTAATAATCACTGATGTACAAGGTAAGTCACTTTTTAGCAGGAGCTGTTACTCCAGGTTTAGCATAAAGGAGGACTGTCGGTTCAAGGTCGGGAGCTTCAGAGGTGTCAGACAACTTATCATTCACGTCTCCTTGGTCCACCGCCACCCCACCCTCCCCCCCATGGGAAGCTGGGGCTGGGAGGCGAGCGGGGCCCTCTGCGAGGCGTCAGAGGGAAACGCGCTGGTTCCCTATCTGC